CCCAGCCCGCCTCCTGCATATTTAAAGGAAAATATTCTTCAAACACAGCTCTGATTTTGTCACCAACTACTCAAAGCTTTTGATGATGACTACTACTGCTTAGTGGGAGGTAAGCTTCTTATTAACCTGGATGGAACTAACAGTCACGTGCCTTTCATCAGAGAAAGGGTCAGGCCAGGCTACAGCTGGCAAGAGAGCAGCTGGCTGCTCAGAACTCGCTGGGGAAGCTTAAGGGACAGAGCCAGGGCAGCCTCAGAACCAGCAACAGGAACCTCAAGCAGCAAGAGATGGCATAAGTTAGTACAGACCAGTGTCAAGAGGTCAAAGGCAGGCCAAGGTGAGAGGTCAGAGTGGCCAGACTGAAGTTGTTGAGGGGGGTAGGGCACACGCCACGGTAAAGGAAACTGATTGCTAAATTTTCCTCTAGTTCCCACATGCTAGAATTTGTCCCAGCCCAACACACCTAAGGCCCATGTAGAGGGAGGAGTAGGCCACAGGTACTCGGCTCAGTATTTAGCAACAGGTGCTAAGGAGCAACTCAGGACAACAGTGAGCACACAGCATTAAAGAAAACCTTTTTTTCCAGTACCAGGGATTGAACCCAGGTCTCTTACACGCTAGGCAAACACTATACCAGTGAGCCACGCCCCTAGCCATCTCTACATTGCCCAGGATGGGCTTGAAATTGTGATCCTCCTGCCTCAGTTTCCCAGGGTGCTAGGATCACCAGCATCTGAACATTTTTAAGGGGGTCAGATTTGGGAACAATTCATTCAGACAAAGAGAGATGATGACGGGTAGGACCGGAGGTGAGGGGAGGTAGACCAGGGCAGGGGAAGTGAAGTTCCGTCACCTTCTCTGCACTTCCGAGCTGGAGTCAGGTGCACATGCTGGGCAAGGAGACGCGCAAGGCTTCTGTTCAGCACAGCTCCATCTGCCAGAGCAGAGTAACTCAGCGGTATTCTCATTCCAGATGTGGGAGGATCAAGAGCTTCACAAAGGAGCTATTGTTGAGCCCGAGAGACAAATAGGTAGTTTTTAAAATAGGGAACATAGAGGAATGTATATTCTAGGAAAAGCCTAGCGTATTAAACTTTATTTTTTATTTTTATTTATTTTTGTTTTTTTCTCTGGTACCGGGAACTGAACTCACGACCTTGTGCTTGCCAGGCAGGAACTTTTGCCGCTGAGCTAAATCCCCAGCCCCCCGTATTAAACTTTAGAAAAAAATCACAGGCACAGCTATCCTGGACCTTAAAACCAGGCATTAAGAATAGACTGTAAAATCCAGACTTTCAGGTCACTCTTCCGGGTAAAACTGCTTTATCTCAGACTCACTGAGGTGGACTCTTAAGAAAGGGGATGCTGATGCCTTAGAAGCTGCCTGGTGAGAACCATCAAAAGCCCCCTGTGCACTTCCTCTTAAACCACAGCCGGCATCGGAACCACCTGGTAGTAGTGCTTGTTCAAAACTCAGAATTTAGCCGGGTGTGGTGGCGCACGCCTATAATCCCAGCACCTGGGAGGCTGAGACAGGAGGATCGTTGTGAGTTTGAGACCAGCCTGGGCTACAAAGTGAGCTCAATGCCAGTCTGAACTGCATAGCAAGACCCTGTCTCAAAAAGACATAAACAAACAAACAAACAAAAAAAACCCCAGAATTTAAAAGAACTTTTTCTTATTTATGTCTATGTATGTATGTGTATTTCAGAACTGGGGATTAAACCCGGGGCCCTGCTCGTGCTAGGCAAATGCTGTACCCTTGAGCTACACTCTCACCCTCTTTCACTTTTATTTTGAGGCAGAGTCTTGTTAAATTGCTCAGGCTGGCCTCAACCTCATGGTCCTCCTGCTTCAGTTTCTCGAGTAGCTGGGATTATAGGTATGTGCTACCACGCCTGGCTTCAAAATTATCTCTTTAAATCAGTTTTAGTAAGGATTTTTGGTTTTTTTTTGAGACAGGGTCTTGCTATGTAGTTTAGGCTGGACTTGACCTCACAGTGTAGCCCAGGTTAGTCTTGAATTCATGGCGATCCTCCTGCCTCAGCCTCCTGAGTGCTGGACTACAGGTGTGCACCACCACACCTGGTTTAGGATCTTATTTTTAACAATCAAAAGTTATACATTTTAAATTTTTAAATGGTAACTTCAGCAACGTTACTAGGGAAAAATAAACGACTTGCAAAAAGTTAGGAGAGGGCAATTTTCCCCCACATAAACTTAGAAATCGTAATAAGAGCATAATATTCTAAAGGTTAGCTGTGTCTGTTAAGTAATCTGGCAAAAGTAAAAGGATAAAAAGCTCTTCAATTGAGTCGTTTGAGGAGAGAGTAATAAAAGGCGCTATCTACAAAGCCTGGGCTGGACTTAAAGTAGAAGCTTAACAGCGCAGGAGGCTGAAAGGACACAAGGGCAGAACCAGCAAAGGGAGCCTACAAAGCAGGCGAGGGAGAGGGCCACACGGCAGGAAGGAGCCAAGTGAATATGCCCCGTCCTCGGCCAGTCCCCGCCCGGGCTGGAGGAGGAGGGGAGCCAGCTCGCTGGGGCCGGCAGAGCGCAGGTGCAGAAGGTGAAAAGTGGATCATGGGGGCTGGGGATTTAGCTCAGCGGCAAAGCGCCTGCCTGGCAAGCGCAAGGTCGTGAGTTCGGTTCCCGGTACCGGAGAAAAACCAGAAAAAAAAAAAAAAAAAGAAAAGTGGATCATGAGAGGCAAAGAAAAGAAATTCAACTTCTACCCATGACAGCCAGGAGACTGGAGAGGCTACTGTGTATCGAGCAAGCTCTGAAGAAAACAGTGAAGATTAAAGGGATCTCCTTTTCAGTTACTTCGTTCCTGTAACTGAATTATATTTATTTATTTTTTTAAAAACCAGCATCATTAAATGTTATGGTTACAGAGGGCACTTCCCAGTCCTCATCACGTTCCAGGAGGTTTATATTTGTCATCCCATGAAAAGTTATTGGAATCGAAATGAGTTAATCCCAATCTACCACCTCTAGTGCAACCCACAGTGTGGAATAAAGACATAATAAGATATCCAAAATGATGGGCAGTTAAGGGGGGTCCTGAGTCTGGCCACGATGATGGCCATCTTGAACAAAGGCCTTTACCCAGGGCTGAACCCAGATTTTATTCACTGGTGAAGAAGGGAGTGAGAACCCTGGGAAGTAGGTGAGTACCAAGAGCTGGGCTAGGTGGAAGGACTGAGATCACCTCTGCAATATGCAGAGAGAAGGCTGTGCAGAAGGAGTCATCTGCATGACACAACTGAGGTAGTATCTAGTGTTTTGGGGTGGGTGCTTCAGCTCTGATGAGTAATCTTTGAAGTCCCAGGAAGTCACAGCTTCTATTCTCAAGGCTCGATCCCAGCCTGCAGCATGAAGCATTGGCTCACACATCCCACCTCATCCCGGCTCACTTGAGGGAGCAACAAGGGGTGGGGAAGCACGCCTGCCCTCTCCAAAGATTATCATCAGCACCTGGGCTTGACCGATATGCATTGCTTAAAGCCAGTTGAAGGGATAAGGAGAAGTCCCAGCCAGCTCTGCACCATCAATACATGGAAACAGGGTCAGGCTTAGCCACAATGGAAGTCTTTTAAGGAGAATGGCCTTGGTGGTCCTCCACGATGGTCTTGTATGGGCAGGGAGCAGAATCCTATGTTCCACCTCCAGATCTACAGGACTGTCATTCCAGAGGGAACCCAGAAATCTGAACTTGCCACAAACACTCCAAGCGATACATGTTGAACTTTTCAAAACACTGAGCTATAAAACGAAAAGTTAAGTAGTAGCAGTGATCTTGTTATGAAAATGATAACGTTATCTATGTTGCAAACACAGCTCCACACTCGCATGTGGGCAAGGACACGGGCAGGAAGAGGACTCAGATGAGAGCACTTGAATGGTAGGAGTGTTTGGAGCTTTGACACTTTTTGCTATGATGATGTTTATATAAAAGCTTATTGATGAAAGAAATCCTACTAGGAAAACTTGAAGCACGTGAAACATTAATGTTCAAGGAGTCCATGGAACTCAGCCACAGCGCCTCTGTTCTCTTGGTTGCTTGCTGTCAGGGCTGTGCAAAATCCCATATTCTCCCAAACCAGCTGAGTCTTGAAACTTACGGCAACTTCTATGGCCCAAAAAGGTAATGTGAGTCCCTGACAGTGGGCAGCCTGCCTTGACAGATTCACCTTGTCTCTGCTCCTGGGAGGAATGGCTGGGCCTGGGGCTGGGAAGGCCCCTTCTCTTGGTTGCTCTGTTAGCATTTTCCATGAAGTGAAAGTTACCTCTGCAAGGTAACATTAACCGGCAATGGAAGTAACACCAGCAGCTACAGACGCCAAGATTGTACTGAAGCAGCACTTAGCTCCCTGGCTGTGTCCCCACAGAGGCCCCAGTCTTTCTCTGACTGGTCTGTTGGTGACCTGTAAAGCAGGGCAGGTTGCAGGACCCACCTCGGCTTCCGGGAGGACCCAGTGAGTTCTCAAAAAGGAAGTTTAGCCTTCAGGACAGGGAGAGAGGCCTTCCTAAACCCAGAAGTCAGGAAATGTTCGTTATATTCTATATAAAGGGACTGACTGGCATGTTTTCAGGGCGGACATAGAGACGGACTATTTAGTTCTCAGTGATAGCTTTCTCAACTGGCAAGTTTGGGCTAGAGCGGGGAAAAAGCAGATCCAACAATCATGTGACAGAGTTACACCTGCTGAGATAAAGAACAGTGTGGCTCCCCAAGCAAACATTCTTGCAGACTCTGCATCGCAAACTCTGGCTCAAGAGGTGCTGGGCTCATTTGTCTTTTGCCAGCTAAAGACAAATGCAGAAGTGCAGAGCCTGCCAGCTTCCCCAGCTGCCTGGTGGTTTGAGGATTGGTTTAACTACTTCCCCTCCCCCAGCCCATGCGTAAATAACGGGTATGAATTCACTGCACTTCACCAAGGAGTAAGGAAATGCACATGTCTTTATTTTTCCAAAACAAGTGAAATCATGCTCCGGGCCTCGCTGGTGAAATCGCTGATATAAATTATCATTGAAATGTCTTCATCCTTTCCGTTGGACCACACTAGAATATAAGGGCCTGCTTTGTAACAGAGGAGTGTGGCAAAGGCCTGAGTTAGTCAACACGAGCACCATTATTAACGTTACTCCACTGTTTTTGGATTAAGAGTTTCCCCCTCATTCACCTACTTTTCCTGCCGGTTCTGCTGTGGGTGCCTTTGCCCATGTTTTCAGTCACACAGGTAGAGATTTAGTCATCTGCCAAGTTTGGGCGGTGGTCCTGGTCATGGTCATGGTGGAAGTTTTGAGGAAACTTTAGATCTTCCTCCCAGAAGTCAGCATCTCCTGTTCTTTGTTATACAAAATATTTTCTCATTTTTATGCACACAGCCGTGTGAATAGCTGGAGCACCCTCCTTGCTCTGACTCTCAGGGTTTCAGCCCAACTGCTGCCCTGAGGCCCTCACTCCAACAGGGCAATTCTAGAGGCCTAACTGCCAGGCCCAACTCAGCCCCACAGCCCTGCTCAGAAAGGCACAAGTCTCCACTATTTGAGGATGTCCTTGAATGTCCTCCCAGCCTTCTAGAATCCACGGGACCCTAGCTGCTTTTTTTACCATCTCTACTCCATCCTCTGGGGCATCTCCGACTAAATTCCTCCCTTAGGCTTAACCCCTGAATTCCAGAGAGGCCATTAGCTAACCCCTGCCACCCCTGCTCCTCTCTGCCCAGAGAAAACAGGGAACTGAGGCCTCTGAAGTCGAAGCCTCGGCTGGCTGGGGGTGTTAGGAGGTGAGAGGTTAGGAGATCAGTGAAGAGAAGCAGAAATGGTTTCCTTTTTCTTTTTTCCCCTGCAACAGAAAGAAAAAACAAAAACCAAAAAACACCTCATTTAATTATCATTCTGTCCCGACTCCTGCTTTGGGTGAGATACTGCTGCTCTAAGGGATCCTATATTAAGATGTCCCCCGGGGAGAGGTAAGAGGTACAGCTAACACCTTATAGGTGAAGAGGTTTGCCTGATACTTCCCTGGTGTGGGAGGAGGGAATCGGGGAGGCCTACCTTCTCTCCACTTTATAGTCCAGCCCAGCAGCTGGCTGTGGGGTTGGCTTGGTCAGGGGAGGCTGGCCAGGGAGCCTCCTTTCTAGCGTGGAAGGTAAGCACACATGTTTTCTGTGGTCTGTTAGGTGGGGCTGAGCTGCCGCATCTTAAGCAGGTGGTGTGGTGCTGTGATTATATCTGATATCAGACCATCTGGGAATTATTGCTGTTTTGTAAGAAACAAAGACACAAAGGTCAAGTTGAGAGAGAGCAGGATGTTGGAACACAGGCTCACGTATCTGGGGGAGGCAGTGCTAACTCCTTCGGTGCCGGCAGAGCAGGTGTTGGAAACAGCTGCCTTACACTGATATGTCAGGGACCAACACTGAGACAGGGTCTAGGTCTCATTTGGATTAATGGGAGCACTGACTCTAGTTGGTATTGAGTTCCTTCACTTTGAACGAGTGTGACTTCAGGCATCTACTAATGTTCCACGCCTCAGTGTTCTTATCTCTAGAATGGGGAAAATAGCACATCTACTGCACAGAAGTGAAGTGAGGATTTGTTTGTATATTTAAGGCATTTAGAAGAGAGCCTGGCACAGTGCAAATGTTATATAATATCAGTGGCCATAATTATTGTTGTTACTGTCTAAAGGAGCCAGGTGTAGACCATAGAGCCAGGGGCCTCAGGCAAGCCTCTGGAGCTGCAACTAGAAAGAGCTAGGATATTTACACTGGTTCCCACACTGCCTAAGGCTGCACATGAGGTAATCGCTGGGGAGCAGTGACTACCCAGATTTACTAGTCAAATACAGATGACAAAGGCTTTTACCTTTGGGTCCTGCTGCCTGAGTAAATCCTCCTCCTAGATTTTTGAAATACCCTGTTAATGACCATGGCTTGCTCTTGCCTCCATGTCCAAAATTTTCTTCAGTACTTCCAGATCTGCAAAGGAAACCTCGTCTTCAGCCAGACTGTCTGTAAGTGAATCTCGGCTCTGTCACCTACTGGATGTAAAATTTTGGAAAAGTTTCTTAATCTTTGCATCTCAGTTTCCTCATCTGTAAAAGTGAGGGTAACAACAGTACCTTCTTTGAGAATCAAATGAAATAATGTGTGCAAAGGTTTAGCAAAGTGTCTGGTATACTCTGAATCCTTAGGAACTGACAGTAATAATGGTTTTGATGAGAAAGCATAAATTAGCAATTTTATACTTTTGACCCATAAATACTCCATTTTAATGCTTCAATTTAAAAATTGCCAGATAAAAACACTAATACAATGAACACCTTTATACACATCATTTAAATTTAACTATCGTTCTATTTCTCTGCCATTTTCTTTTGCTGTTAGTGGAGGATTTGATGGAGGAGTGATACTTTATTGTTATGTATATGCATATATTTTCCTCTCAATAATTTGAAAGTCAGCAGCAAGCATTATGATATTTCACTCCCAAATACTTCAGCTTATAGCTTCACCAAATAGAGATTCTCTTACATAATCACAACCCAATTACCATTTGCAAAATAATTAAGAATAATTCTTGAATATTGTTTAATATTCAGTACATTTTTATACTTTTTCATTGTTCTGCAAATGTCTTTTAGAACTGTTTTTTGCAGGTGGGAACCAAGCACGCACCCTTCATGTATTGTGTTTTGTTATGTCTCTGTAGTGTCTGGAATCTAGAATAACATTCCTGTCACAGTCAGTCTTCTGTTGCTGCAACAGAATATAGAAGCCTGGATAATTTATAAAGCATAAAGTTTTATTTATCTCACAGTTCTGGAGATTGGGAAGTCCAAAAACATGGAGCCAACATCTTCCGGGCTTCTGGTGAGGGCCTTATGCTGTGTTATAACATGGTAGAAAAGCAAAGGGATGAACAAGAATATGTAGAAAAAATGAAACCGGAGGAATAGTCTTGCTTTATTAGTTATCTGCTCTCCCAGTAACTAATCCAGAACTCTACTAATCCCTCTTAACCACCTAGCTACCTCCTAAAATCCCCACCATTTTTCAGCTTTGTTACATTAGGGATCAAATTTCGAATGAGCTTCGGAGGGGACAAAGCACACCCACAGTATAAAACACTCCAGCTTTTCTTTTTTAGGAGCACTGGCTTTTGGAGAGACCAAGCCATCTTTTCATAGACTATCTCACTTTCTGGATTTGTCTTGTTCTTTCTTTGTGGTGCTTTCACTGACGTTTTAAAGAAGGATGAAAAAGTCTGGAGCTTGAGAGGGACTCCCTGTGCTGTCCCCAGGCCTGTGTTCTCTTGCCCGGAGGGTATGAGGGCGGGGAGATACTCATAAACAGGGCACACTCATTTTTTTATTTATTGTAGTAAAATACACATAACAAAAGTTACCGCGTTAGCCGTGGGCCGTTCGGTTGCACTGCGTACACTTGCGTCGTGTGCAGCCATCACCACCGTCCACCCCAGAACCTCTTCCTCGTCCCCAGCTGACGCTGATGCCTTCACACGCTGACTCCCGTCCCTCCCCACCCCCAGCCCCTGGAAACCACCATTCTTCTATCTCTGTGAAGTTCACTACTCTACGAGCATCATACAGAAGGAATCATCCATTACTTGTCCTTTTCTAGCTTGTTTACTTCATTAGCATAATATTTTCAAGGTCCATCTGCGTGGTGGGGCAGTGGCAAGAAGAAACACCGAAATGACACCCAGGAGGCAGACTTAGGTACACCGTCCGCCACTGCGGTTGCTGCCAACACCTATAGCTTCGCCCCCACCCCACCCCTACTCCTGCTCATGACTAGTCTGCTTCCAGCCAATTCAACCAGTTCTAGTTCACAGCCCAATCCCCCTACCCCCAGGTGCCTGCCCTGGTCAGATGGCATCATCTAACGCCCACCGGAGATGACTGTCAACAATCCCTTCTGAGTCCCACATTTTAACCAAGGAAAGATTGGACTGTCAGGCATTGTTTCTCTTCTTATCACTCTGCCTTGGAGTCTCTCATTGATTACTTTTATATGGACAGAACTTGCATGTGTGTGTGTGTGTGTGTGTCTTTTTGAGACAGGGTCTCGCTATGCAGTTCAGGCTGGCCTTGAACACACTTTGTAGCCCATGCTGGTGTTGAACTTACAATGATCTTCCTGCCTCAGCCTCCCAAGTGCTGGGATTACAGGCATGTGCCACCATGCCTGGCTTTCACTAAATGCTGTAGAACTTTCATTGACAATTACTATGGTCCTTATTAAGGGCAATAATCTTATTTACTCAGACAAGCTCATTATTTTACATTAAAAATAGACTATAGATCCCATTCCTTTCTCTCTAAGAATCCAGTCTGTCTTGACCCTGGTATTTCCTTAAATTGCTTTGAATGTTGTGGTTGGCCCTCCCCCACCTCCACTTTGTAAACTTTCAACTGTTTGAAACGCTTTCTTTATTTCGCTTCAGAACTTGTTGCAGCGTATCTTGTTTCAACAGCCTTCCAGCCTGTCAATAGAGCTTTGGTCTGCCAGTGCGGTGAGTCTAAAGCTCTTTGTCAATTCTTTTTGGTCCTGTGACACTTGATCAGCTAGTTGGGTTAGATGTCGCTTCAACAGCTGAAGAGCAGCGTCACAGGCTTCTCCCATGTTTTACAATCTAAAATTTAATTGTGCAGGGTTCCCGGTCAAAGCTTCAAATAATCCCTGTCAACATTTGTTTACTTTTTTCAGTCATGCAAAACTTTCTTCTAAGGAACGTCCTGTGTTTCCAGCTCAAAGGGGGAACTGGTTGAGAAAAAGAATACTGGAATTGATGAGCTCAGAACTGAGCCAACGCCTTAACGGTTACACTGCTGTAAGGTTAAAGGCGGCTGGTCTTGCTAAACAATTAAGATGCATAAGAATCGCCTGGAATTCACAATACAGCACGGTGCAGATTTCTGGGCTATGACCCCAGATATCCTCTAAGTTAGGACTTGTTGCGTGGGTAGGGGGACCCAGGACACACTCCCTTGGCATCCCAAGACAGTTTAATCTCAGGTGTTTGAGAAACGACATTTGCAGAAGGACTTTCTGACCTTCTCTGGAAGCAGGTTTTGAGACCTTCATGTGACCTTGAGGAAGAAGCATTTGACCTCTGACAATAAAAGGACACAGAGAGGAACCTGAAGGGACAGGCCTGGCTCTTTCCCCTGAGATCACCACTTAGCTTACACTTCTTCATCCTATCATATTTTTTCACCACTCTGTATCCTTCATACCTACTATAAAAACACTCACTCTGGCTATTTCTTCAGGTCTTCATGGCTTTATGAGGGCTGCCATGTTATATACTATATATATATATATATTTATTTATTTATTTTCCCCTTTCTCATTAATCTGTCTTTTGTTACAGGGGCCCTAGCCAAGAGCTCCAAACTATAGAAGGGAAAGATATTTTTTTCTTCTCCTGTAGGGGATCGTTTTAAGCATATCGTCAGAGATTCTGATTCAGGGCTTCCACATGGTTAGAGGCCCGGTCAGCAGAGTAATGGTTTGCCCCTAATTTTAAGCAAGTTGGCTTTTTGTGCTTCAGACTCTACATCTATAAATTACTATGGAAGCAGCATTTGCCTGCCCAACTCCCGGGTTTGGAAAAGTAATCAAATGAGATCACAGATCTAAACCTTTAGATACTGGGGACTGAGCCTAGCTAGGCAAGTGTTCTACACTGAGCTACACCCCTACCCCCGAACCATTTTGAAAAGCAAGGACTCACGCCAGTCAAGGCACTGTTGTTCCCCTCCACATTTTCTTACCTCCGTGGAGCAGACTCCAGCTGGCAGCCCGACTTTTCCTGAACCCGCTAGACATTTCCAGGCATTCGCTTGAAGGGAGGGGGGGCTTGCTAACCTGCCTCTGGTCTATTTGTTCCAGACAGGCTCCCAGGACCATGCACATTTCTGTCTGAAATCTTGCCAAAATAAGATCTGGAATGACCTTCCTCCTAGGCCCACTTCCTTTTGGAAATGTAGGCACCTCTGCACCATTACTGAGCCTCTTAATTCCATTTCCTACAGTGTCACATCGTTCGTGGGCCACACTTGACTGCACACGAGTCTTCTGTGTGAGCCACGGCTTGCACCTGAGCTTTTCCCATCCACACCTACCGCTTGTGCTCTGGGCATGTGCCAGGTACAGTACGTACCTTTTGAAGTTTGGAGTGATCAACTTCATGTTAATCTCTTCTCCTTCCCTCTGTTCTAATCCTTTTGGCAAGAACCTATTCCAAGGCCACATTCACCTTGAAGCAAAATAATGGGAATACCACTTCCACTTGAAGC